GGGAGCCCCCTCCCTATGGGTCCCGCACTTCATGTTGGTAATCCGAGGCGGGTCATCGGAACCTTGTAACTGTCGTCACTTTTGGGCTCCTGGGGCGTGAATTTGGAGGAAGTATCAAGCGGGAGCGTCGTCTGTGAGTGAATTGCGAGGAAGTCTCAGGCGGGAGCCCCCTCCCTATGGGGCCCGCACTTCATGTTGGTAATCCGAGGCGGGTCATCGGAACCCTGTAACTGTCGTCACTTTTGGGCTCCTGGGGCGTGAATATGGAGGAAGTATCAAGCGGGAGCGTCGTCTGTGAGTGAATTGCGAGGAAGTCTCAGGCGGGAGCCCCTCCCTATGGGGCCCGCACTTCATGTTGGTAATCCGAGGCGGGTCATCGGAACCCTGTAACTGTCGTCACTTTTGGGCTCCTGGGGGGTGAATATGGAGGAAGTATCAAGCGGGAGCGTCGTCTGTGAGTGAATTGCGAGGAAGTCTCAGGCGGGAGCCTCTCTCTATGGGGCCCGCACTTCATGTTGGTAATCCGAGGCGGGTCATCGGAACCCTGTAACTGTCGTCACTTTTGGGCTCCTGGGGCGGGGCGGAGAAATTGCGAGGAAGTATCAAGCGGGAGCGTCGTCTGTGAGTGAATTGCGAGGAAGTCTCAGGCGGGAGCCCCCTCCCTATGGGGCCCGCACTTCATGTTGGTAATCCGAGGCGGGTCATCGGAACCCTGTAACTGTCGTCACTTTTGGGCTCCTGGGGCGTGAATGTGGAGGAAGTATCAAGCGGGAGCGTCGTCTGTGAGTGAATTGCGAGGAAGTCTCAGGCGGGAGCCCCCTTCCTATGGGGCCCGCACTTCATGTTGGTAATCCGAGGCGGGTCATCGGAACCCTGTAACTGTCGTTACTTCCCCACATCCAAAGTGGGGTTCTTGTTTTCTCTGCACACCCCCGCGCAGGAGAGAGATCTCACTCACCCCCTCTTCTCCTCGCACTCATTCACACACACATCATCATCACTCGCACTCTCTCACACGCTCACGAACATCATCGTCATCATCGGTATCGGCATCATCCTCATTCAAACATCATCATCGCCACCACCACCCACAATCAATCATCATCCTCTTCACCACTCATCTTCACCACCACTCATCATCCTCATCCTCATCATCGTTGAGTAAAGTGTGAGGAAGTCTCAGGCGGGAGCCCCCTCCCTATGGGGCCCGCAGATCATGTTGGTAATCCGAGCGGGTCATCGGAACCCTGTAACTGTCGTCACTTTTGGGTTCCCCAGGCCTGAAAATGGAGGAAGTCTCAGGCGGGAGCCTCGTCTGTGAGTGAATTGGGAGGAAGTCTCAGGCGGGAGCTCCCTCCCTATGGGGCCCGCAGATTATGTTGGTAATCCGAGCGGGTCATCGGAACCCTGTAACTGTCGTCACTTTTGGGCTCGTCAAGCCTGAATTTGGAGGAAGTCTCAGGCGGGAGCCTCGTCTTTGAGTGAATTGTGAAGAAGTCTCAGGCGGGAGCCCCCTCCCTATGGGGCCCGCAGATCATGTTGGTAATCCGAGCGGGTCATCGGAACCCTGTAACTGTCGTCAACTGTCGTCACTTTTGGGCTCCTCAAGCCTGAATTTGGAGGAAGTCTCAAGCCTGCTCTCGAGGTTGAGTGGGAAAAGCCTCTCAGGCGGGAGCCCCCTCCTCAGGCGGGAGCCCCCTCCCTATGGGGCCCGCAGATCATGTTGGTAATCCGAGCGGGTCATCGGAACCCTGTAACTGTCGTCACTTTTGGGCTCGTCAAGCCTGAATTTGGAGGAAGTCTCTGGCGGGAGCCTCGTCTTTGAGTGAATTGTGAAGAAGTCTCAGGCGGGAGCCCCCTCCCTATGGGGCCCGCAGATCATGTTGGTAATCCGAGCGGGTCATCGGAACCCTGTAACTGTCGTCACTTTTGGGCTCCTCAAGCCTGAATATGGAGGAAGTCTCAGGCGGGAGCCTCGTCTGTGAGTGAACTGCGAGGAAGTCTCAGGCGGGAGCCCCCTCCCTATGGGGCCCGCAGATCATGTTGGTAATCCGAGCAGGTCATCCAAAACCTGTAACTGTCGTCAATGTTGGGTTCTCGCGCTGCCAGAACGCAGTTCCCAGGCCACACTTTGGATGCAACAAGGAAGTTTTTGGGCTCCTCAGGTCGCCGAGGTGCTGCGACAGGGCGCCGAAGGCGCCGACGACGACGGCCAGGCCGAGGCGCGGGCGCGGAGCTTGCTGATGTTCAGGCCCAGCGAAAGGGAGTTCACATGGCAGAGCTCGGGGGCGCACAGCGTGCGCCGCTCGGGGTTCACCCTGACGCACGCGTCCTACCTGACCTCCACGCTGTCGCAGGGCCAGACGCTGCGCAAGGGCGTCACCATCGACTGCGCGAGAGACGAGGACGCTGGCCGCACGGGCATGTCGGACGAGCAGTGGTGGCTGCACCTCTACGTCATGTTCTCCCGCGCCACGTGCATGCGGAACATGCTGATCCTGCGGCCGCCGCCGCGAGAGTTCCTGGAGTGCGGGCCGCCGGCGTCCCTGCGGAAGGCGCTCCTGGAGTTCGACAAGAGAGCGGTTTTGTCCAGGGCGGAGGCGAAGCAGCTCGCGGCAGAGCTGGGCTTCGTGCTGCCTTCCGCCTGAGCGCGGCTGCGCCTCGCTCGAAGCCCGCGGGGTTGTCCCAACGGCTTGGTCTTGCGCGCCAACGGCTCGCGGGGTTGTCCCGACAGCCTGGCCCGCGGGGTTGTCCCAACGGCTGCGCGACGTGACCAGTAGAGAACGCGCCTGTGCTGGCCGTGGCGGCGACGGCGCCGAGGAACATCGACATGCGCGCTCATGCAACAGGAAGGGGAGGAGGTGGCGGGGCGCGGAACAAACAGGGGGGCGAGGATGGGGACAACGTAAGGAGTGGAAGGGGGGCCCGCGCCAAGGCGAGAGGAAATATACGCAGAAGAGACAGCCAGGACGCCTCACCAACCACGAGGACGACGGTGATGGCTTTTTCCAGATTCGCCCAGAGGATTCTTATGTGGGGTTCTTCCGTCGGAGTAATTGAAATTCAATGCCACCCCTCACCGGATCGGCGGGGTCGGGGTCAGGGTCCAAAAACACTGGATTTGCTACATTTCTGAAATTCGGTGCCACCCCTCACGCAGATCCGCGGGGTCAGGGTCCAAAAACACATGGGATTTGCCACATTTCTGAAATTCGGTGCCACCCCTCACGCAGATCCGCGGGGTCAGGGTCCAAAAACACAGGGGATTTGCCACATTTCTGAAATTCGGTGCCACCCCTCACGCAGATCCGCGGGGTCAGGGTCCAAAAACACATGGGATTTGCCACATTTCTGAAATTCGGTGCCACCCCTCACGCAGATCCGCGGAGTCAGGGTCCAAAAACACATGCGGGGTCAGGGTCCAAAAACACATTTGCCACATTTCTGAAATTCGGTGCCACCCCTCACGCAGATCCGCGGGGTCAGGGTCCAAAAACACATGGGATTTGCCACATTTCTGAAATTCGGTGCCACCCCTCACGCAGATCCGCGGGGTCAGGGTCCAAAAACACATGGGATTTGCCACATTTCTGAAATTCGGTGCCACCCCTTACCCAGATCCGCGGGGTCAGGGTGAAAAAACACATGGGATTTCTGCTATTTCCGAACTTATGCAACTTCAAGAATCCAAAACTCCGTTCCCAGCGCCGTTCGGGAGGCCGCGGTACCTCGTTATTTATCGAGCGAACGCGTTTACATCGTTTTTATCGTTTAAAGTCGATGTCGGAAAAAGTGGACTTCACCTGTGAAATATCGAAGTTTCCTTAAAGGCAGTAAAATGCCAAGGGCACGATCTGCGTGAGGGGTGGCGAAAACTGGCCTTCGTCCTCACAATTTTAATTCGCCGGCCCCCTTCGACCTCGTAATTTATCGCGCAAGAAATTCGCCGGCCCCCTTCAAGTAAAAACCGGGGGTAAACCTACTAAAAGAGAACCCTGGGCCCATGCCCTTTCCGGGAAAAGAGAACCCTGGGCTTATGCCCTTCCCGGGAAAAAAGCAGAAGACGCCAGCTAGCCTCCAAGACGGACCCAACATTGCCCCAAACGGCCCAAGATCCCTTGAAAGACGACCGAAAGATGCTCAAGAAAGCCCCAATAACGAAAAACATAAGCTGCGCCAAGAGCGTCTCGAGGCAATCCGACCTAGGCAATCCCACGAATGATCACTGATGCGCAGCTTTGCTTGCTCGGTTTCTCGTGTCCCCATCACGAAGCACACCGTTGCAGGCGAGGATACAACGCACCACCAGAAAAAGACGCTGCCAAATCGATGTGATTGGGGATGTAACCTCTACCTGGCCCGCGTCGCAGTTCTCCGGCCCCCTGCCCCGCTCGGGGCAAGACCGCAACAGAGGGAAATAGACAGAAGGGTGCTGTGGTACGACGGCTCCACGAGGGACTGCGGCGAGACACGAGGGACGTGATGGGGAGGGGCCGAGGGGAGGTAACTGGCAGGGGCGGAGGGCAGCGAAAGGGGGGGGCTGCGGGATGGGGGAGGGCGGCACGAGGGGGGAGGGGCACAGGAGAGGGGAGGACGAAGGGCAGATGGAGGTTGAGGAAGGGGGGGGAGGAGGGGACGGAAGAAGGGTAGGGGACAGAGCGAGAGAGAGGGGAGGGGGAAGCAGAGGGTAGAGGGAGGGCGAGGGGGATGGGGAGAGCGAAGGACAGAGGCAGAAGAAGAGAGAGGCGAATGGCAGGGGCAGAGGGAGGACGGCGGGTGGGAGAGCGCAGGACACGGAGAGGGCGAATCGTATAGAATCAAGCCCTGGGGGTCAGATCGTCACCGCCGGAGAGGACGAGGGCAAAGGAGAGGTGAAGCGCGCAAGACACGGGAATGCCAGGGGGGCGACAGACAGAGGTAAGCAGTCGCTCGCACGCGCTCGCTTCACCAGCGGGACGGCGAGATTGAACAGAGCCCATCGATGAGACAGCGTGCTTTTTCATCGCGAACGAACCCAGGAATCGCGCGAGGGCCAGGCTGCAACAGGCGGGCCAACGCGCGTCGATCAGACAGCGCATGCGCTGGCCGTTGGTGGGGCAAGGAAGGAAAGCCAAGAGGCAAGAGGCCTGAGCACTGTTCGGCCTGAGAGCCCGCTTGGGGAACCCACAAGAGGACTACCGCCCATGTCTGGTGGCAAGTTCCCTGAATTGTGCCTGAGTCCGGCCTGGGCACGTTCTTCCTTCTTCATCCTCACGACTCAAGACTCAGGACCCATGGAAGCCACAGCGATTCAAGCATGACAACAGAAGTCTGACCTCCGCTTCACACCTCGCTTGGCTTGGCCAGGCGACGCCTAGACGAACGGCGCTCGGCCGCGCCCGCGGCCAGGCCAGAGACAGAATGGTACTAAAGGTTGGGATGGATCGACCTACGGGCAGCACTCAGAACCCATTTGGGCGATGGCCGCAGTTCGCTTCTGAAGGCGGCTGGATTCCTGAACATGATCGACCCACGAACCCGGAAAGGAATATAGAACTGTAACACATGGCAGCGTTTTCAAAGACACCTGATTGGGTGACGGGCAAATGCAATGCTGAGTGTATCGATCTTGATGTACCCTGCCGAGGGCTGTGCTGTGCTGCGCCGTGCTGAATTGCGATGTGCCATGGCGCGATTGTGCTCTATAGCCTCGTGGATCGAGTCCTCCTTTGCATCCGAGTCCTGACCGAACTGATCTGGATCTTAAGCTCGAGCTGCCTGAACACATAGTAGCTGCCCCAGAGCTAATGGACAGGGGAACATGCCAGGAGGACGCGCCGCGAAACGTCCTAAGGGATGCGCCAGGCGACGTGCCAGGGGACGTGCCATGGGGTCGCACCGCGGGACGTGCCAAGGGGACGCGCTACGGAACGTGCCAATGGATGTGCCACGGGATGTGCCAGGGGACGCGCCACGCGACGTGCCAGGGGGACTCGCCAAAGGACGCCCCACGGAACGTGCCAAGGAACGTGCCAAGTTGCAATGCTGAGTGTATCGACCTTGATGTACCGTGCCGAAATCAGTGCTGTGCTGCGCCGTGCTGAATTGCGATGTGCCATGGCGCGATTGTGCTCTATAGCCTCGTGGATCGAGTCCTCCTTTGCATCCGAGTCCTGACCGAACTGATCTGGATCTTAAGCTCGAGCTGCCTGAACACATAGTAGCTGCCCCAGAGCTAATGGACAGGGGAACATGCCAGGAGGACGCGACGCAGAACGTCTCAAGGGACGCGCCAAGCGACGTGCCAAGGGACGTGCCATGGGGACGCACCGCGGGACGTGCCAAGGGGACGCGCTACGGAACGTGCTGGGGACAAGCGTTTCGCTCGAGACATCCTGTCAAAATCATCTGAATTCCTACGCGCGGGACGCTGCACGCGCGAGACATCCTCGGAATTCCTGCGAGCGGGACGTGAAAACAAGCATTTCGCCTGAGACATCCTTTGAATTCTGGCCCCCCACGAGGCCACCGCTCGAGACATCCTCCAATTTTGCAAAACCAGCGTTTCGCTCGAGACATCCTCAACAAATTATGAAAAACAAGCGTTTCGCTCGAGACATCCTGTCAAAATCCCAAGAAATCCAAATACCCGCGCGCGGGACGCGGCACGCGCGAGACATCCTTGGAATTCCTGCGCGAGGGGCGCTTTTCCGTGTCGCGGTCGGCTCTGCAAAACCAGCGTGTCGCTCGAGACATCCTCAACAAATTCTGAAACCAAGCGTTTCGCTCGAGACATCCCCAACTCTGCAAAACCAGCGTCTCGCTCGAGACATCCTCAACAAATTCTGAAAAACAAGCGTTTCGCTCGAGACATCCTCAAAAATAATTTCGCAGGCCCTCTTCCCGCACGTAATTTATCGCAGAATAATTTCGCCGGCCCACCTCCCGTCGAAACCGGGGGGTAAACCAACTAAAAGAGAACCCTGGGCCTACGCCCTTTCCGGGAAAAGTACCTCACAAGTCGCCCCCCCAAAGATCATACATCTTTGCGCCGCCTCTTCCTGCTCTTCCTGCTCCTCCTCCTCCTCCTCCTCCTCCTCCTCCTCCTCCTCCTTCTCCTGCTCGTCCCCCTCTTCTGCGCCTCCCTCCCAGCACCCTTGCCTGCAGGCCCCAATGCTCGCGTGGGCCTCCCTGCCAACACCCTTGTCTGCGCCTCCCAGACCAACAACCACTAAACATACACAGTGTTCGGCGACCTCGGTGCAAGGAACCGCTGTGCGAGTTTGTTGCTGTTGGATTTTCTGGTCTGCGAAACAAGGAAACACTATGTTTTTCTTCCCAACCATCCTATGGTGTTGGGTCCTCGTTTTGAAGAGACAGCAACCCGCGTTCCTCTCCTCTCCTCCTCCTCCCCCCCATCTTCCCTCCTCCCATCACCATTATCGTCATCATCATCATCATCATCATCATCATCATCATCATCATCATCATCAGCAGCAGCAGCAGCAGCAGCATCAGCATCAGCATCATCATCACCACCACCATAATAATAATCATCATAATCATCATCATCATCATCATCATCATCATCATCATCATCATCATCACCACAATCAGCACAGCCGCATCATCACCATCATCAGCATCATCATCGGCATCGTCATCGTCATCATCAGCATCAACAGTATTGCCGTCATCATCACCACCTTCGTCATCACCACCATCATTGTCATCCTCATCAGCATCGTTGTTATCGTCGCCAGCATCGGCACTCATTTCGGCACGCCCATCGCACCCTTCTGGTGGCCCCACAAGGAGCTCCACCTAAGACCCTTGTGGCACAGTTCGCATGGCGGCGCCGCCCCATTTTGGCACACCCTTCACACGCTTCGTGGCCCCATAGGGAGCTCCACCGAAGGCCCCAGTGGCGACGTTCCCATGGCCACTGGGGCCTCAGGTGGAGCTCACTCATGGGGCCATGAAGCGTGTGAGCATTGTGCCGAAATGGGTGAGGCGGCCACATGCTAACATGGCCACTGGAGCCTTAGGTGGAGCTCCCTCATGGGGCCACGAACCGCGTGAGGCGTGTATGCCGAACTGCTTGACTGATGCGGAGAGCAGAGGTCAGGAGGGGGAGGAGGGAGGGTAGGAGAACAGGAAGAGGGACGCGGGGCGCTGTCTTCAAAACGAAGAGCCAACACCACAGGACAGCTGCGAACAATTGATCAGCGTTCCCGAGGTTACGATCCCTAAAAACAATAGGTCAGCGCTCCCGAGGACACGATCCCTAACAAATGTTAGCCAGCCTGGACCCCAAACAGTGTGTCTCTAGCAATCTGGTACAGTCCGCCGCCATGCCTCTGGGCACGGAGTGGGCGTGTCCTCAGGTCCTTGGCCACCCCCTGAGCCGCAATCCTCAATCCTGAAGAGACTCTGAGGGCCCCGGAGCCCAAAGTCACAATCTCCCAGGGCTTGCCGCGGTTCCCCTGTGCTCCAGCGAATGTTCTCGCATGACTTTTCGGGACCCTCGACGGGACAAGAGGACCCCAAGAGGCGTCCCAGAAGGCCCAAGAGCGCCCCGAGATTCCCAAAGATCTCTCCAAGACGCCCAAGGTGGCCCCACGACGGCCCCAGAGGCCGCCAAGACGGTCCAAGAGGCTTCCAGGACGGCCCCAAGAGGCCCGAATCATTGATTTACCTTGGGTGTTTGAAGGATTTGGGCGTTCTCCCTTTTTCGGCTTCCCGACGCTCCCAAACGGCCCTAGAGGCCCCCAAGGCCACCCCAAGACGGCTCAACCGGCCTCCAAGAAGGCCCTCAAACTGCCGACGATGGCCCCAAGAAAACCCAACAACCCCCCAAACCGCCCAAGAGGGCCCACAGACGGCCTCAAAATGAGGGAACACGAGCCGAAAATCCGAGCCTCCCCCAGGCCCCAAGAGGCGCCCAGGAGGCCCCAAGAGGCCCCCAAAAGGCCCCAAGTGGCCCCAACATGATCGACCCACGAACCCGGAAAGGAATATAGAACTGTAACACATGGCAGCGTTTTCAAAGACACCTGATTGGGTGACGGGCAAATGCAATGCTGAAGGTATCGATCTTGATGTACCGTGCCGAGGGCTGTGCTGTGCTGCACCGTGCTGAAAAGCGATGTGCCATGCCGCGACTGTGCTCTATAGCGTCGTGGATCGAGTCCTCCTTTGCATCCGAGTCCTGACCGAACTGATCTGGATGTTAAGCTCGAGCTGCCTGAACACATAGTAGCTGCCCCAGGGCTAATTGAAAGGGGAACATGCCAGGAGGACGCGCCGCGAAACGTCCCAACGGATGTGCCAGGCGACGTGCCAGGGGACGTGCCATGGGGTCGCACCGCGGGACGTGCCAAGGGGACGCGCTACGGAACGTGCCAATGGATGTGCCACGGGATGTGCCAGGGGACGCGCCACGCGACGTGCCAGGGGGACTCGCCAAGGGACGCCCCACGGAACGTGCCAAGGAACGTGCCAAATTGCAATGCTGAGTGTATCGATCTTGATGTACCGTGCCGAAATCTGTGCTGCGCTGCGCCGTGCTGAATTGCGATGTGCCATGCCGCGATTGTGCTCTATAGCCTCGTGGATCGAGTCCTCCTTTGCATCCGAGTCCTGACCGAACTGATCTGGATCTTAAGCTCGAGCTGCCTGAACACATAGTAGCTGCCCCAGAGCTAATGGACAGGGGAACATGCCAGGAGGACGCGACGCGGAACGTCTCAAGGGACGCGCCAAGCGACGTGCCAAGGGACGTGCCATGGGGACGCACCGCGGGACGTGCCAAGGGGACGCGCTACGGAACATGCTGGGGACAAGCGTTTCGCTCAAGACATCCGGTCAAAATCCTCAGAATTCCTACGCGCGGGACGCGGCACGCGCGAGACATCCTCGGAATTCCTGCGAGCGGGACGTGAAAACAAGCATTTCGCCTGAGACATCCTCTGAATTCTAGCCCCCCACGAGGCCCCCGCTCGAGACATCCTCCAATTTTGCAAAACCAGCGCTTCGCTCGAGACATCCTCAACCAATTCTGAAAAACAAGCGTTTCGCTCGAGACATCCTGCCAAAATTCAAAGAAATCCTAACAAAACAAACGAATTAGTTTAGACATCCTCAAAATTCCTGCGCGCGGGACACGGCACGCGCGAGACATCCTCGGAATTCCTGCGAGCGGGACGTGAAAACAAGCATTTCGCCTGAGACATCCTCTGAATTCTAGCCCCCCACGAAGCCCCCGCTCGACACATTCCCCAATTTTGCAAAATTCGCTCGAGACATCCTCAACACACGAAAGAGTGGCCCGCACCCTGTGAGTTATCGATCGGGATTTCAAAAACAAGCGTTTCGCCCGAGACATCCTCACATTTTAATCCGCCGGCCCACCTCGACCTCGATGTTTATTAGGGAAAGAATCCGCTGGCCCACCTCAGTTGAGGCACTGGGGACAGGTTTACCATCCTAAAAGAGAACCCTGGGCTGGCGCCC